TTTAGAGTTGGTGATTATTAATTCTACTTCTAGCCTTCTTTATTTTGTTTTACTTTGCTTAACTTTATTGGGTCTCAAAATTTACAACTAAAAGTTCAGACCAATAATAGTGCCCTTTCCTACTTGACTGTTGTGTGGGGGAAAATAATTGCAAAATCATCTCTGAATAAAAGACCCTAGATATTCCACATATAACTACACGAATTGGGGGGTGGGGAGTCATAGGTTCAAATATAGTGTGCACAGGGTCTTGTAGCCAGCATTACCAATGCAAGAGGTCCTTTACACTTTTCATTGCACACACAATGATAGCACAAGCAGGCAGTCAATGTTTGAAGTGACTCAATGATTCATAATAACCATAAATAAAGGGCTGCTGAATGATTGAAACTCACTCATGTGTGAGAATCCACTCATTTCCAAAAGGGATAAATGGAGAATGACAGATAATCAAAGGGACTTTCCTTACTGATTCAGTGGCTCTGCAGAGACTGCCAGACTTCTATTTTCACAACTCTCAGCCTTATGCAAACTGCTTTAATGTCCTTTGGAAGAGAGTGGGCGAAGGGAGGGATAGGGCTGCAACCTTGCCTTGGAACGATTTGTCTGCCACTGACACATTTTTGGCCAAGGGATGAAAAGAAAAAAACAAAAACCCCACCCATTGTGTAGAGCCCAGAGGCACAACAGTGTGGAGTTAGAGCAGAATGTTACTTCCAGGTGTGTTCTCGCATGGGTTTCAGGGCTTGTAACTACGTTTGTTTAGCCACAGTAGATCAGGCATTACACAACATCACAAATGAGGAGCCCTCTCTGTGCTACTGTTTGGAAGCTGGTAGGAGGCTTCCAGTCCTGAGACCAGTGCAACCGCCGTCAGGGGTCAGCTGGTTAGAGAATTCTGGCTTCAGCACGAGGGGTCAGCTCTGTGGGGATGGGGAGGATCTTCCAGACACAAACCAGGTGGATGAGCATTCCCATTGTCATGACAAAGTGAGGAGGGGAGCTTAGCTGGGTTGTGTTGTTTTTTGAGTGTGTAGGTGGAATGACTTCTACAGCTGGAAGGCAGGGACGTAGGCTGACTCATCTTTGCAACTCCCTCCCTTGGGCAGCAGCCAGCACCTTGCTCCACCCTTCACCATCACCATTATCACTCCCCCCTCATTCTCACTTCGTTCTGTTGAACATGGATCCCATGATCTTATCTCATCAGCACCTCAATTCTCTTCCTCCTTGTTCTTCTCAATGAACTGGCATCATAATCCCTTAACATGGGTCAATTATACATCTGGATTCTCACCTGCATCATCCAGTTGTTGGGGAAAATTTTGCTCAGCTGTGAAAATTGGTACCCCGACACAGAACTTGGCTGGAGATCCTGGCTAGAGATCCTGGCTAGGCTGCTGATCAACTGAACACTGTCTCTGTGTCATTCCTTCTTCGCCGACTCCGTCCACACCGTTGGGGACCCCTGGACCTGCTGGGGTTGGACCCCAACAATCTAATATTTATTTTATCATTTGTTTTCTTATTAGAAAATGTTAGTTAGCTTTTTTTCAAAGTAGGGTCTGCCAGCCACAATTTTTTTTTCATTTTCTTTCCCCTACAATTGACCTGATGTTCCTTAGAAAAAATTTTTGAATAATTTGCCTATATCTATCATCTTTTAAGAGATCCCATTTCCAATCGCCTATACCTATACAGTAATTAAAATGAATGGTTCCATTTCCCAGGTGCAGTTCTTCAGAAAGGGAGATAAGGTGGAATGCAATCTGGGCCAACAGGATTGTCTTTTCTTGAAGGTCTGAATTACAATTTAAAAAAAAATCAGTCTACTGAGCTTATAAGCTGAGAGGCTGAGTAAAGCAGAGATAACTGAAGCAAAGCACACCTGATCCAAATGAGAAAGCTGCCTTTCTGAAAATACTTCAAATTCCATGTTGCCTTGGAAAGTTGGGAGAGTAATATAGCTGCTGCCTTATAGTTTTCAGAGAAAATCCCTTAGAAGCCACATTTTAGTAATTTCTTGTGGGTTGTATAACATCTCTCTTTATGACAACTTGATTTTTGAAATGTTAAAAAAAACCACCTCTCTCATTTAGGTAAATGTTATTCTCTAAGTCTTTAAGATTTAATATAGCAAATGGTATATTTTCACGTTACCAATTGACTTTTATTCTAAGACTTAAATTTTACTTGCCAACCTTTTCTTTGGACATTTATAATTTAAAAATAAAAGCATAGAACATAAAAGAAAAAAAAAGAAAATTGGTACCCCCACAAGCTACTAACCAATGACCTGGCAACATTACCTCATCGGCCACCTCTGTAGGACAGGAACTATTTTCCCCATTAACCAGGTAAGGTAACAGGCTCAGTTTGTTCTTTTTCAATGGCAGACTTAGGGAAAATATTAAAATTATTTATGCCTTACTTATTTGTCAGTTAAGAATAGTTGCAGCTACCCTAGCCAGTTTTGCTCAGTGGTTATAATGTTGGCCGACAATCTGAAGGGTCAGGGGTTCGATTCCAGTCAGGGGCACATACCTCGGTTGCTAGCTCTATCCTTGGGCCCCAGGAAGCATGCAGGAGGCAACCAATTAATGTGTCTCTCTCACATTGATGCGTGTGTCTTTTTTCCCCTCTCCCTTCCATACTCTCTACAATCAATGGAAAAAATAATCTCAGGTGTGGGTGAAAAAAAAATAGTTGCTGCTATCTTTTTAAAATATGTTTTTACTGATTTCAGAGAGAGGAAGGGAGAGGGAGAAGGAGATAGAAACATCAATAACGAAATGCCTCCTTCACGCCCCACACTGGGGATCGAGCCTGCAACTGAGAATCAAACCATGACCTCCAGGTTCAAAAGTTGATGGTCAACCAGTGAGCCATGCCGCTGGCAAGGCAATTGTTCCTATTTTAATCTTACAATGTCAGTGTCTTTTTGACTCCCCACTGGCTTAACTTATCACTGTATTTGGTCAAAATTTTTTGGAGCCCATGAGAAGAATGAGCATAGAAACCGAAAATGTTTGCTCTTTCTCAATCTCTCAAGGTGACAAAATCTGGAAACGAAGAGGGTGAAGTCCCAGGTTCCTGACCGAGTTCTAGGCATGAGATGGCAGGTTGCTTTATGTCATCTCACTGTTAGTATTGCCGTTAGAATGTGGAACTCATTGAAACTTACTTTATGAATTAGCTTTATCTTTAACTGCTGTGCTCCAAGAGAATGCCAATAACTGTCTGCTTATTCTCTTCCGTGGATCTTTTCCATATCTTACTTCTGGAGATTAAGTTCACCTTCTTGTTAGTTTGCTTGTTTTTTAAGAGACACTGTTTCTGAGTTGAGAAATGGGAGGCACCATGTCCTGATGCATGCCTTCGTGGGTCTGAGCACTGCCTTCCCAGAGCCTGTGTACTACACAGTGGCCTTGACAGGAAATGCAGAGCTGGGCGGATGATACGGTCCCAGTCCTGCAGGCCCCTAACTTTCTGTGACTGACCTGTCGCCAGTCCACTTCAGCGTCTTCATCTGCAGCAGAAGGGAGTGGACTTACCTTGGTGTGGCCCGTGGACCAGACCAGCAGCATTAGCACGACCTGGGAGGTGGTTGGAAGTATAGAGTCCCTGGCCCCATCCCAGACCTTATTAATCAGAAGCTGCACATTACCGAGATTTCCAGGAGGATTCAGACGCACATTAAAGTTTGAAAAGCACTAGGTCCTAAAAAACACGTTAACAAGCCTCACTCTGCCCCTTTCCCTGGGACATGGAAGGTAGTTGATGAGACTGGGGCTTGACTCCCATCTGACCTGAGCAAGCGACTCCTCCCTGAGCACAGCCACACGGAGATGATCCCAGTGAATGAAATGCAGGCAAAATGCCCACGCGATTCTATTCCGACTTTTTATATTCCGAATACAGGGCATTAACGGTAAAGTGAGGAACAAAAGCCCAGGCCACGGAGCAGAGCCGCCTCATTGTTTTTACTTTAATTATAGGGATGTGTTTTTGTTTTGTTTTTGTTTTTTTTTCAATCGTTTTCTGAGAGAACATATTGACCACACAATTTTGAAAACATAAAGGGATGTTGTAAACTGTAAGATGATGTTAGAGCTCTGTAAAGCTTTTCATGAGTTATCAGGAACCAGGTTCTCCAGCCAAGTTCTGTAGCCAGGTTCTGTCCAGGATCTTTTGCCATGTTCCGTCTCTAGGTTCTGTCTCTAAGTTCTGTGTCTAGGTTCTGTGTCATATAGGGATGTTTTAATACAATTCTAAGTGGAATTTTTAAGGTTGTTTGTTTAATGATAGTTGACCCTTGAGCAAGGCAGGGGTGGGGAGAGTGGTGGGGGAGGGGATGTTAAGGCCCTCGACCTCCCGCGGCGAAACTTCTAGAACTACTTCATTTGAAATAAAGCTGTTAAGCCAGAGCCTGTTGGCTTTCCCTGCAGTTTGGCCAAGCTCTGGAAACATGACAGTATGCATCGTTCCATTCCCAACTCCCAGCCAGGGAGGGTGTTTTCCTCCCCAATTCTCAGCTCGGGAAGACTAAGGGGAAAAGGCGCTTTAACTGCTTGGCCTCACAGCGGCGAGGCCACACCTTCGGGCTCCCGCTGAAAACCAGAGCCCAGAGGCAACGCCGCCGTGAGCGGGGCTCGGAAATACCCTTCCCTCGCGTCTCCGCCTTCTCCCGACGGAACAGCCGGAGGCGGGGCTAGCACCACGAATACAAGCGGCCCTGTTTCCTAGCTCTCCTCGTTCCTCGCGGACGCTAAAGAGCGACGCACAAATCTGGACGGCACCATTCTTTGATTCTACTACTCTATCAAAATTCGAGGTATTATTAGAGGTATCTATAGAAAATTAAGTGATCAAAAAAGCTCTATATTTTTGTTCTATAATAACAACCAACTCGAGAAAGGAGATGGCAGTTTTGAGCAAGTTATTTCTTTTTTTTGTTCAACGCGGACCTTGACTACTGAGGCTCACCGACGTCACTTCCGGGAACCAAGTGCTTGAGTACCGGAAAACGTGCGCGCTGGGCGGAGGAAGTTCGTTCGGCGGCCGTGTTGCCATGGGCCGGAGGAAGGCACCAGGTTCTGGGTCCCTCGGCCGGGCGCTTATCCGGCAGCAGACCCAGCGGAGCCGTGGGCACCGTCACACCGACGCCTGGGTAAGCCAGGGCTTGTCCTCTTCCTCAGTCTCTGTGTCTGGTTACGCGAGTGTGAACGCTGCGAGTCCTGGGGCCAGAGATCACGAAACTTTACTAAGAGTGACGTCTAAGTAGGGTTTTCAAGGATGAGTGTGAATTTCTGCCACGCTGATACGCAGGTCCTCCTCCTAGGAGGGACAGAACACACAAAAAAGTAGGACTAGTCTAATGAGGCTGGAGTAAGATTTTTGAAGGGTCTTAATGTCAGAATAACAGTCTTTGCCTTATAAGCCATGGGAACTTTGGAAGTTATGAGCGGGAAAAACACAAACACTACGTCTTTTAAGTATTAATTTGTTTAAAGATTGGACCCTCTAAAAGTGGCTGGTTGCTGCTAGAAATACAACAGATCTTT